AAACTCCTTAATACACAGCTCATTGTTCTTACGTTGTCATTGAGCACTGCGGAGCTGCCTCCGTGCTGTCCGCATCCATCCCACCAGAACAAGCCGAACCCCGCAGTTTGGCCATAGCTCTGCCCAACGTCATAGGCTCCCAAAACTCCGCCAGACCTATCTGAATATTAGTCTACGAGAGATTGACGTCTTCGGGTGGGCTTAGCTATCTTTATTTCCACGCGTGCCGCCTTTAGAGTGGCCGAGTTCGCGGTAGTTTATAATCGATCCTCACACCCACATCCAGACGCCATGCGCTCTATTGTGACAGCAACTCGATCTCTCGGACGTCAACAAGCTTACAGAAGTCACTTTCAGAAGAGAACCTTACCATCAATTGTCTCTCGAGGATACGCAAATATGGGCCATTCAGTACCACCAGTATGTCCCTACTTCGTTTGCGCGGTCTTCCGCAACGACCAGCTACTGACCCCATACAGCTCAACGACAAGTCTCTCTTGAAGAACCAGACATATGTCAACGGAGAATGGATAGACGCAAAGTCAGGCAAGACCTTCGAGGTCAATGGTATTCCAGCCCCACCAATCCTCTAGAAACCCTCTAACACACGGCAGACCCAGCAACAGGCAAGCTCATAGGCACCATGCCTGAGATGGACCGCGCAGACACCGAAGCCGCCATCGCAGCAGCAGCCGCCGCACTCCCTTCTTTCCGCAAGCTCACCGGTCGCGAGCGCTCACGGCTCCTACGGAAATGGTACCAATTGATGATGGATAATGCGGATGATCTGGCGAAGCTCATAACCTGGGAGAACGGAAAGCCCATGGCAGACGCTAAAGGAGAGGTCAACTACGCTGCGAGCTTCTACGAGTGGTTCGCAGAAGAGGCACCGCGCATGTACGGAGCCACCATCCCAGCGACGGTTGCTGGTAACCGAGTGTTCACAATCAAGGAGCCTGTTGGTGTTGTTGGATTGATCACACCGTACGTCTTGCGATTTATCTGAGAGAATCATGGCTAACGTTTTCAGATGGAACTTCCCCGCAGCTATGGTCACGAGAAAGATTGGACCGGCTCTGGCAGCTGGTTGCACCGTCGTCGCAAAGTCTCCCGGCGAGACGCCTTTTACAGCGGCTGCTCTCGCCGAGCTTGCGCACCGAGCTGGAATTCCCAAGGGTGTCGTCAACTTCGTTACCGCACTTAAAAACACACCTGAAGTCGGCGAGACAATCACATCGAGCAAGACTGTCAAGAAAGTATCATTCACAGGATCGACCGGTGTCGGCAAGCTTCTGATGAAGCAGTCGTCGGATACACTCAAGAAGCTCTCGTTCGAGCTTGGTGGAAACGCACCCTTCATCGTCTTCGACGACGCCGACCTGGAGACAGCCGTGACCGGAGCTATCACATCCAAGTTCCGATCTTCAGGCCAAACCTGCGTATGCGCCAACAGAATTTATGTTCAGTCCGGCATTTATGATGAGTTCTGCACAAAGTTCACCGAAAAGGTTAAGAGCTTCAAGGTTGGTGGCGGCTACGAAGAGGGCACTACACACGGGCCTCTCATCCATGACCGTGCCGTCGACAAGGTGGACGCCCACGTCCAGGATGCCGTCAAGAACGGCGCCAAGGTCCTGTTCGGTGGACAAAAGCTACCTGATCTTGGTGAGAATTTTTACCAACCCACAGTCCTCCGCGATATGACCAAGGACATGCAGCTTGCCAAAGATGAGACCTTCGGCCCTGTTGCCGGACTCTTTCCCTTCGATACCGAAGCCGACGTTGTCAAGTTAGCCAACGCGGCCGACGTAGGCCTCGCGGGTTACTTCTTCAGCAAAGACATCCAGCGAGTTTACAGGGTAGCTGAAGCTCTGGAGGTTGGTATGGTTGGTGTTAATACCGGTCTCATCTCCGATGCTGCCGCGCCTTTCGGAGGCGTGAAAGAGTCTGGCTTTGGACGAGAGGGAAGCCATCTTGGTATCGATGAATACATTGTCACAAAGACGATCACAATGGGCGGCAATGGCCAGCCGCTCCAAGGAGAGTAGAGGATCAATACAGACTGATTTGCGCCGAGGGGTCGAGAAGCCCCGCCACACCTAGCTTCATTTCCACGTATGCCTGACAACGACCACAGATCATGATGAGGTTTGTGCTCAACCCTCGAGAGATACCGCAGTGCAGAACCATTCGTCGAGTTCCTAGGGAAGGAATGTGCCGTGCACGTTGCAAAAAGAACTATCGAAGGGAGCCGCTAGCGTGTCATGTTCGCGACTTTGGAGTTTAGCGTAACGCGTAGTCCAGCGCAACGCGTGCCTGTGCCATCCTGTCCTTGCGGCCGTTTAGTAGATACCTATCGAGTATTTTGTTTGCTTTTCAATTCTCCATAAGATTAATAGCATCGAGTGGTCTTGCAACGACGGCATTTCAAACAACTAATCGCATCGTCGATTTCACATTCCTTCCTTCGACGATCCTTACCTACCGGTGCCATTTCCGACACACATCCCTGATAGCATCACTTTCGGCCGTTTACCCCTCTCCGCCACATCCACGCCAAAGCACGTTAAGAACAGGCCAAACACCCAGTTCAGACTTTGTCACTTTTAGCTCATTCATAACTATAATGGCGCACGTTTCGTACGACCAAAGCCATGTCTACATCAAGTCGGAGGCAGGCCTCGACCAAAAGCAAACCTTAACTCCCGGACCGAGTCCGACGATGTCAGCTGCACCGTTTCCGCTAGGTCCGAGCAATGTCAAGAGGGAGCAGACTCCGAGCAACATGAAGATGGAGCAGACTCCGGAGCCATATAATATCAAACAAGAATAATATCACCAGCGGGAACGAGAGAGCACTGTTGGCACCATGGATGCGACCACACGCACGACGAACTGGGTACTACAGGGGAACAACGTCACTGTCGGTCAGGCCGTACCAACCTCTCAGTCAGCCTTTTCGACACCTGCTCCAGCTAGCCAGGCGGCGACTGCCCCAGCTACTCAGACGACGGCAGCTCAAATCACTCAAAACTCCATGGCGTCTAGTAGATACGCCCAACCAGAAATCAACGCCGACCCCTCTCCCGCGGCATTGAACCGTCTGGCATTCAAGCGACTCCTCGAAGATGATTCTTTCTGTACAGGATCACCAACAAACAAGCGTATCAAAGCCGAGCCATCCTCCTCAGTCTCCGGCACCGGCGTTCCTCGCATCAAGTTGGAGCCCTCCAGCTCCCACACAGAAACCCGTCCCATGCACCGCGCACCCGAGAACGACATAATCGAAATCATCAAGACATGCACAAAAGTCAACCTCAGACCTTTCGAACTCGAGTACCTCAGCAAGATCCAAACTAGAATCGACTGGGTCTTCAACCATGGCGCAAAGTCTTTCGACATCCTTTCCGAGATCAAGGCAATGCCAAATAACCCGCCTCATTCCTACACGTTTAGTCTCAAGCCCGAACAGAATCGCCGCATCGGCGAATTGCAGAAGAGGATGAAGGACGCTCAGACTCAATTTAATGCTCAGGGCGTGAAAGCTAATCCAACATCGACTCCTAAGGGCAGGAAGATCAAGAATTGTCGGGCGAGGACTATGAAGTCACCGTCGGTGTCTGCAGAGCAGGGATTCAAGGTTGAGAAGCTCTTGGGCATGTTGATGCTGAATGACGAGTCTGGGGCTGCTGTTGCTCAAGCGGCGTCCAACTTGCTTGCTAGTAGGGGGCTGAAGTTTACTTTGTGTGGGAAGGAGCTGCGGTTGGTGGAGATGTAGATGCAATCGCGGTGCTGTTGGATGTTTGGTACTTTCTTTTAGGGAATCTGTAGCCAAAATGGCTTTTTTGTGCTACTAGTAGTAGGAGCGGGCTCTCTGGGTTTTGTGCAGGTAGACTCGTGGTCTTTGTCAAGCACTCTTTTATAGTTTCATTTGTTGTACCTATGTAGTCTCTGTTCGATGAAACATTGAATCTATTGAAACATCTCAATTACTTTCTTGGCTGTGTCGCTATAGGTCTCGTGGTCGCTGAGCGAGAAGCTCTTGATGAGCGTCTACATGGACACTGATAACGGAGCACCATCAGCACCTCAGCACCTCAGCACCTCAGCACCTCAGCGACCCTTCGACTTCTATCCCATATGGAAGCTCGGCGGATGGCCGATCTGCGTAGAGATCGTAGTTTGTGTCAAGGAACACCGGACCATGTGTGGCGCAACGCGCATGCAGCATAAATACCCAACGTCATCGTCCCCGCACAATCCAGGGGAAAGCGATTTGTCGCTGTGACCATTTGGGGCCATAGATACCATCCAAAAAGTATCAGACCTTGTATTGAGCTCAAGGTCAACAAATATGATCAAAAGAATATCGATCCGAACACCATTCCCATAAATTTTCCTGATAGTTGCAGGACATCCCCTCACAGTCGGCTGCTAGCGCGTTGCACTCGCGACCGAAGTTTAACAGGGCACAACGCGCATCCGCAACCCACCGTTCGCAACTTGTCGCACATGTCAAGCACCGTCACCCGTCGACTCTGAGTGACGCGCACAAGATCGCAAGAGGTACTGCAACAAATACCGATAAAAAAAAGCAACTCCATCGACTGCCCGCTTCCGGTGCCCTTTCCGAACGTCCAGCGGTCGCACCTTCCACCTCAACTTACATTCGGCAATCGCCTACAATACACGTCATGATGCGCTGGCTGAGAGTCAGCACGGCGGCAGGAACACCAGGCGCAGAGGAAGGAATTGGGAAAGAAAATGTCATGCCAATGGCATCAGACAACGTCAATGCCGCGGGCGCGGAGGATGAGGTTGAGACCTCGAAGAAGCCGTTGCGCAACGCCCCGCGCCGTGCTGCAGCGAAACCCAAGAAGAACGCTCCTGCCAAAGCTTCGCCCGCGAAGGCAGCGACTCCCCTACGCCGATCCACGCGCGCGCAATAGAGAAAGAGCGGGGGCTTCTTCGACGCGGCTCAGGAAGCCACGCCAGACCCGATGTCAATCGCCTCGATAATAGATGCACCTCCGACATCGACATCGACACCACCACCACCATCACCACAACAGTGGTTCAGTGTTGCCCAAGAGGAAAGTCTATTACGACAGATGGAAAACCTACACAAGAGTGTCGTTGAGTTGAGAAAGATGGGAGAGCCACAGCACGTCGTCTCTCACACTCAGGACGGCGAGAGTCACGTCGAGTTGGGTGAGATGGAAGTGCCACAGCACGTCATCTCTCACGCTCATTCGGACGAGACGGCAGCGGGAGGTGAGAACCGAGAGCCGGCGGTTGAGATGACTGAGTCTTTGCGAGGTACTGTCGCTTCAGAAGAGGCTGTCGCTCCAGGACAGACTGTCGCTGTACAGGAGACTGCCACTTCACAAGCAACAGAAGACAATCATTCGTTTTACTCAGCCACGCCGGCTTTCGATCATACCAGCCAGAACTCGACGCTTCCTGTAGATAACCCAACAATCTCCGCGGCCGGCGTATGCTACGTTCCAACATCGATTCGCCCCGGCCACTCTTCATCGGTGCCTACAAATACGGAACCCAACATCACATTCGTCTCAACCCTACCAGCATCCGAGGCACTTCCATCACAGACCGACACTGCTCAGGCGTCAATTCCAGCCCCGTCGACCTCGAACCAATCGAACGAATCCTCTACATGTCATAGGGCCGTCCGCCCTGGCGGGCTCTCTGCAAGCAAGTATGCGGTTGTCCCAGCTGCACCAATGGAACCTAAAGATTCGACCTCGCAGGTGCCTGTGTATTCAGATGTCCCGGATGCACCAATTGAACCCACATATCCGCCCATGCCGTTCTCTGCATACGCCAACTCAGGCAAACGTCGGCATGTCGAGGAAGACAACGAAGGACCATCGGGCTTTCAGCATGAGCGTTCAGCAAAACGCGTGCGTACTACGCACAGTCGCGAGTCCGCAGGTGACCGCAGTACGGCAGTTCCTCAAATACTTCCCAGCCCTTATGACAGATACGAATGGGCGCTTATCAATGACAACATGAGGGATAGTCAGGATCAAAGCATGAACTCTGAACCTGAAGAGACGCCAGAACGGTCAGTTGTGGGTCAAGACATCATTGATAGAGAGCCAGTCATCAAGGCTGAGCCCACCGATGATGCACCAAGTAGCCTCGCTGTGATCCCGCCGGCGCACCAGACCCTGCTCACGCCAGCTCAGTCCAATTCACCAAGTATGAGCGGGGCAACGACAGGACCAACAGCATCGCAGCTTACGAACCCGCAAGCTTCAGTCTCAGCTCCAGAATATATCGACCTTTTTCGTCTATGCATACCACACCCTAGCGTCCGCCAACCGACACTGGCCGAGGCTAATCTTCTGAGAGACATGGAAAGAAGAGCAGCGATGATTTTGAGTGGCAGGCAGGCGAAAGTCGACATCATAAGCCAGCTCCCAGCCTGGATGCGCGAGGGCATGTCGAAGAACAAGAGACAACAGGTGACTGCCATTCAGAGGCGTATCAAGGCAGCGAAATCAGGCCCCCGTCGCAATGCCGACGTGAGAAGTTTCAACGACAGGGCGGTCGTATCTACGCCAGCGCCCGTGAGAACCGCGCCAGCACCTGTCACGCAAAATTACCAGCAGGCGCCTCTCATGACCGCACCAGCACCACCGCAAGTCCAACCCTCAGCACCTAAACAAGCCCGTCAACCATACGGTCTCGACCCTCTCCAGTACGAAAGGTTTTTTGGTCCAGCTTTAGTATACAGTGCCCTGGAACAAGTCAACAACATGCTGGCAGCTCTTGGGGTTAAAGTACGCTGTTTCCTCAGTGGCATGGACACGATAACTCTAAAGAAAAACCATGAAATAGTACTACCATCTTCGCCAGACTGCGTGCCTCTTTCACTCGAGAACATGCCCTACGCTAGACTGGCCGGTCCGGCTCTGGTGAACCACGCGTTACACCATGTCAATGAGATGATGAGCTCATTGTGGCCTGGTCAGTTTGTGTTGCATGGGAAGGACATGCTGCTGTTGCAGTCGTAGTTTGTCGCATCGTGGCGATACTACTGTGCTTATCTTCGAGGCTGCAATGGTGACGAAACACACGTGGTATAACTTCTTTTCCTGTATATAATTAGTACCGTATTGGCGGTTCATGGCTTCGTACGTGTAGTTGAGAGTACGTTCGATACCCAATCACATTACGTATCAGAACATTTATGTCGATGCGTGTAGCATCTATAATTTAGTCACTCCAATATCATTCTTGGGTGCTTCGTCGACGTGCTCGCACAACGAAGCTCTTTTCAATCGAGTCATACTATATCGTTAAGGTAAACACTGCGTTCTGGATTGGTACCAGAAAACACAGCGTAGTGTACATGTTCAGGGTGGACCGCGCGTTTTAGAGACGACGAGATTCTTCTTAGGGTAGACGGTAGATCATGCAGGAATTTAGGCGCATCTGTAGAAATTACGCCCGCCTAGGTGTGGGCATGACCTCACAACCGGCTACACTTGCCAAATGTATTGGTGTAACTTTTTGAACGCATAGTCTCGTCATTTCGGAGTAAACACGCTTTCGCGAGACAAACACATGGAGTGTCATGACTTCAAGGTCATCATTGAAAGTTGTTCATTTTCATGCCGGTGTACCCAGCACTATCGTTGGATACATACGTGAGGTCCTGAATGTAATACCCCGCGCCATAACCCTGAATGCTAAAAAGAACCCATGCAGAAACACCCTCTAGTACCTCTTACCCTCACGGAGGATGTCGCTGTACTCCTCAAGCGGGGATGGTGTGAGCTTCTTCTCCGCCCACAAGTTGGGGGTGAGGAAACCGTAGGTATGTGCGACGGCGACGAAGGTAGCCTTCAGGGTGTTCTCAAGGGTCTTGGTGGAACCGGAAGAGGCAGTGTAGATGTCGGCGACACCAGCCAATTGCAAGAGACGCTTGACGGCGGGCGATGCGACAAGGCCGGTACCACGGGGAGCGGGGATGAGACGGACAGTGACGGAACCGCACTTTCCGCTCTCCTTGGTGGGGAGCGAGTGAGGCTCACCAAGGTTGGTACCCCAGTAACCTCTTCGGATGGGGACGACGGAGAGCTTGGCGATGATGATGGCGGCGCGGATGGCGGTTGCGACTTCCTTGGAGGTCTTGATACCGAGACCAATGTGACCCTCGGAGTCACCGATGACGACGATGGCCTTGAAGCGGGTACGCTGACCGGCACGGGTCTGCTTCTGGACGGGCTTGATCTTCATGACCTCGTCCTTGAGCTTGGGGAGGAAGAAGTCGACGACCTGGTACTCCTTGATGGGGAGAGAGTGGAGGTAGCTGCCCGCAGTCAGTGAATGTTCCCTGCCCAATGTCGCATCGAAACGTACATCTCCTCCATGCTCTTGATCTTGCCGGCCTTTACGAGACGGCCGAGCTTGGTGACGGGCTGCCATTCCTTCTCCTATGCCAATTGTCAATTTCCCGCACTTTATGCCTCCAAGATGTTTTATATGCGTACTTCGGTCTTTCCGCCACGGCGGCCACGGCCACGTCCGCGACCACGTCCACGGTCACCACCGCGGTCTCCACGAGAACCGAATCCGCCGCGAGCGGGGGCAGGAGCGTCAGCCATGATGTATGTTGGTGGGGTATACGGCTGCTAGATTTGCGATTAGCGACAGTTGAGAGGGTGAGGAGAGGTGGGAGAGCGTACGATTTGGAGTTCCTGGGAGTTAGTGCGTGCTGTTGTCGCGGTCGCACTTGCAACTTTCGATATTGAAATGCTCGCTTAGGTCGTGGATGAGGCTAGCCGTATATGGCTTGGCGCAACCAGGCTGCATGTGGGATGCCCAAGTGAATAGTCCACGGGTGATCACCACAACTGCAAGCCGCAATTCTTGTAGAATCTGCCGCTGCGTTTAGCCAAGTGATTACCTCTCTGTATCGATAGAGTCTTTCATACTCAAAGATGCCACAATCCGAAGTCATTTGCCAGGCACTTCACGCGAGCCTTGCAAGTACGACAGTGCGTCCTTAGGTGGCCAGCGCAGCTCACAGCTCACGGAGAAGCCTCATGACTGATCGCATCCCGTGCTCTGCTTGATCGTTTTGCCCATTATTGTTGCGTGTCTCATGCTCCCAAGCTGTCTGGGATGACGTGGCTGACTAAGAGCTTTCGGAGCGCGCCTGACTCGTTCACATGCGCGAGGTACCAACGCTACCACATACACGAATCCTTCTCACCGACGCTTCTTCAAATATACCACAGAGCGCATAGCAATCTCATGGTTAATCGTAATGTCTATCTTTAATTCTGTCCTCGGATCGCTCTCACCTCCGCGGCGATTCAGAAAGTCCTTCGAAGACCCTCACGCGCGCGAACACGAACTACCACTTTACAACTCTCCGCCTTCTCCTCGGGTACCACCGCCTGTAACTTCCTCCGTACTATGGAACGCCCCAAGATCCAGCCTTTCTCCGCCGCCGCGCGTTCCCGACGACCTACTAGCTTTGCAACGGCGAGCTAGACATCTCGAACAACAGCTGCAAGAGCTACTTGACGCACAAGCTGATGGCCTCATGGGCAGCCTTGGCGCAAGAAACGGTCGCGTATCGAATGGAAGCACCACACCAACTGTTAGCAGTGTTCGGTCCAGTGACCGAGGCGAGGACAGCGGAAACAGCCACAACGCGACACGGAGCAAGAAAGTGGGACTAAACACAGCAAGACAAGGCATATCGAAACGAATAAGGCAACTTGCCAGTATCAAGGCTGAGGAACTAGACCTCTTAGATGAGGATCTGAGGAGATTGCAGAGCACAGTGGAGAAGACAGATGCGTGGAGCCAAAAGCGTGTACGGCTCGCGAAGAAGATTAGGGATATAGAGAGAGAAGATGCTGGTGCAAGAGCACAAGCCTTACAAACGGAAGCCTCGAAGCTAGAACAGGAGATTCGACAGAAGGAAGAAGAACTATGGGCGCTGAAGAGACAACACCGGCGAGTCTTGGACGAGCTGGCTGATACGGAAAACTCCGTGGAAGCAAAATTGGCGTCGTACAAGACATCGCTGTCACTGTTAGATCGGGAGGTTTCCAACTTCCTTGCGCGACCTCCAAACGCGGACCACGTACCAATGTCGTCTTCTCCGTTCCTCACACTACCCGCGAAGCGACGGACGCTTGAAATGGCGCGCGAATACTGGCAAGACGAGTACACAAGGCTGGCTGAGAGGTGCGAAGAGGTCGATAGAGATCGCGGTGCGCTTGACGAGGGTGCAGTATTATGGACCGATGTCATGAAAAAGGTGGCAGACTACGAAACAACCCTACAAGACTCTATGCGGCCCACGACAGAGAAAAGCGCACCCGATCCCACTAAGCTTCTCGAGCAAATGGATGCAATAATTGCCTATCTGGAAGAAAAGCTAGAGTTTGCTTCGTCGCGAAGTTGGAACCTACTGGTTTGCGCTATCGGTGCTGAGCTCGAAGCATTCACCCAAGGCAAGGATATGTTGGAAGACACACTTGGGTCGAAACGAAAGGGCAAGGAACGAGCTACAGGCCCGTTGATAGATCATGATGGGTTTGAGGCTAGGGAGCCAGAGGAGATGACGGGATCTGCGATCAGGATCAGTCGGTCCCCATCGAAGAAGGCTGCGTCGCCTAGACAGACGTACTTTGACTCTGAAGACGATGATCCTGATCCTGAACTCATGATCTCGCATCAGGATACAGATACTGACTGAGCTCGATGCGGGCTTATTGTCATGCTATTGTTCGCGATTAGATACCCTTTTGTGTACCCACGCTTTTTAATAAATGAATTACCGTACACGACATGCTCATATACTCACTCATCCTAGTAACGTCGTCATGTGGACACCGTGCTGCCCGCGGGCGTGGCTCAATCTATCGATAAGAGTGGAGAAATCGGAGATAGCCCGTCTTATTACCGTGACTACTAACAAAGCTCCCGCCCGTTACGAGCATCACCATCATAATCACCTCGGTACAACTTGCGACATCTGCTGGACAGCTTTTCGCAAATATGAGTTCTTCGCACGCCCCGACTAGTCCACCTACCGAGGAAGACACCGCAAGAACCATCGTCTACGATCCAAACGACCCGTTCTGGCGAGACACTGAAGATGATGATGACGACATGGACTTTGTGCCTGCAGAAGAGGGGACCGACGACAATGAGGACGGTGAAGGCGAACTAAGCTTTCATGGTATGTATAACTCTCTCTTGCACGGCTCACGCACTATATACTGACATTATCGCAAGATGCTGCCGAACGATTGAGTAACCTCAGCGGAGTGGAGATCGCATTCGAATACACCGACGATAACGACGAAGATGACGACGAAGAAGAGGATGAGGACGAGGACGAGGATGATGATGACGAGGACGAAGAAGAAGACGAGGACGGGGATGACGAAGATCCAGACGACCCTCGGCAGCCAGTCATGATTACACGTGAGCAGATAATGCAGTTACTTGGGCATGCCGGATTAGGGCGGATATTCGCCACCGATTTAATTCCTCGATCTGGGCTTCGGCGACACAGGTTTGACGATGATGAGCAGGAAGATGAAGAGGACAGCAATGCAGGCACCGGCTATGATCCTATCGGCACAAGGTCTTCTGGCAGAAGGCGAGGGCCACGAGGCAGGGACTTATTCGAAAAGGTTCCCAGCGAGCAGGGCCAGGAGTTGATGCAAGGAGGTAATTTCGGAACGAACCCACGACCGGAGGATACACTCCAGAGGAAAAAGAGGCTAGCGTACAACATCATGC